GACAGTGAGAACAATTAACCAGTGGAACAACCTGCCTCCAGAAGCGGTGAATGCTCCAACACTGGAAGTTTTTAAGAAGAGACTGGACAGCCATTTGTCCGAAATGGTATAGGGTTTCCTGCCTGAGCAGGGGGTTGGACTAGATGACCTTCAAGGTCCCTTCCAACTTTACTATTATTATTATTATTATTATTAAATACATCTCATTCTTCGATAGAGTGACTAAACTAGTAGACCAGCAAAACTCAGTGGACATAGTATACTTGGTATACTTCAGTAAGGCATTTGACAAGGTAGACATCAATATCAGATGGATCTGTAACTGGCTAACAAACCGTACTCAGCGAGTAGTCCTCAATGGCACTACATCCACATGGAGAGAAGTAAGCAGTGGGTTACCACAAGGTTCCGTCTTAGGTCCAGTACTCTTCAATATGTTCATCAGTGACTTAGATGAGAGAATAGAAGGGGAACTCATCAAATTCGCAGATGACACCAAATTAGCAGAAGACAAACACAGGATCCAAAAAGATCTTGATCAACTTGAACAATGGGCCTTATCCAACAAAATGAATTTCAGTGTGGAGAAAAGCAAAGTCTTACATTTAGACAGGAAAAAATAAAGGCACAAATACAGATTGGGCGAGACCTGGCTCAAAAAGAAGTGACTGTGAGAGGGACCTTGGAGTCCTAGTGGACGATTACTTGATTATGAGCCAGCAGTGTGCAGCAGCAATCAAAAAAGCTAACAAAATCCTGGGTTGTATAAACAGAAGCATAGAACCAAGATCACGAGAAGTAATATTACCATTTTATAAAGCCTTAGTAAGACCACAGCTAGAATACTGCAGCCAATTTTGGTCACCATATCACAAAAAAGATATTGAGGAGTTGGAAAAAATTCAAAGAGCAACTAAGATGTTCAGGGGCCTGGAAACTAAAACATACAAAGAATGGCTACGTGATTTGGGCCTGGCTAGTCTAGAGAAAAGAAGAAATAGGGGAGACATGATAGCAGTGTTCCAGTACCTGAGGGGCTGCCACAAGACAGAGGGGGCCAGGTTGTTCACCAAAGCACCATATGGAAGGACGAGAAACAATGGTTGGAAACTGACCAAAGAGAGAAGCAACCTGGAACTAAGGAGAAATTTCCTGACAGTGAGGACAATCAACCAGTGGAACAGCTTACCCCCAGAAATCGTGGGCACTCCATCACTGGAGATTTTTAAGAAGAGACTGGACATCCACCTGTCTTTTACGATATAACTTGAGCAGGGGGCTGGACTAGAAGACCTCCAAGTCCCTTCCAGCTCCTATTCTATTCTATTCTATTCTATTCTATTCTATTCTAAAATAATACTGATGAAAATTTTTTGGATAACCACATTGTTAATACAATATTCCTCTCTTGAAATTTGAAAATCATCTTCTTTTCTTTCTGTTTTCTTAATTAATACAATAACCATTTTCCTAGTTTATTTGTAAACTCAAAGTTCTTTTGTTTAGCATAGTTCATCTTAATTTCTATTTCTCTTACTGTTAACATAGATAATTATTGGTTTGTTTAATTTGATATTTTTTGTTTAAGTTTAATGTGATGTGATTTTTATGGCAATATCTTTAATTTTTCCTTTTTTCTCTTTCTCATTCAAAATAACTTGCATTTTTACTTGAACCTTCCTTTTAACACTATTTTGTGTAAAATACTCTCTGATAAAAGATTTGCTTATATGACAGAACATTCTTAAATCAGTACCGCTTTTGGAAATTCTTTTTTAAAAAAATTCTATTAATTTCTTTATAGTATTTCACAACCTATTCTTTTTTTAGTGATATTTTGTTTATTCTTCATTTTGAAGAAAGTAGATTTTCCTTTAAAAATCAAACCCACAGCACCTAATTAACAGTTATCTTTTTTTAAAAAAAATTTATCTGTTGTATTTTTAAGGCAGTCTTCTCTACAACCTCCATTTAGATTTCTTTGAAATTCCCTTTAAATTTTTCCCAAACTTCTTTGGCTTTTTGAGCAGAATTCATTTGGAATCTTTTCTGTTGAAAAGTAAAACTTAATATTTTCTAATATATCCCAGTGAAAATAAATCTTCTTCTGCATTAGTATTTCAGTCAAAAAAGGGTATTTCTTTTATGTAAAATTGTAATAGGAATGCTTTTTAAGATAATTATATCTATACTATCAATCTTTAATTTTATATTAAAATGCTGTTGCAATACTTGATCTCTTGTCTTTTTCCTAACAAAATGGACTAAAACATCCCTTGGGATATTTCTTATACTTGCAAAAAAAGAGAATTTTTGTAATATACTTTGTCAATCTCATTCTTGGTTCCTCTCCCTAGTCCAAAAAAACCCCTGTCAGTCCCTGAACAACTTTTCTTTGAACATCTTCATCAATGATTTGGACGAGGGGATAGATAGGGAACTCATCAAATTTGCAGACACCAAGCTGGCAGGAATAGCCAATACCCCAGAAGACAGGCTTAAGATACAGGAGGATCTGGATAGACTTGAACACTGGGCGCTATCTAACAAAATGAAATTCAATGGTGAAAAAAGCAAGGTTCTACATTTAGGCAAGAAAAACCAAATGTACAGGTACAGTATAGGGGGTACCTTGCTCAATAGTAGTAACTGTGAGAGGGATCTCGGAGTCTTAGTGGACAATCACTTAAATATGAGCCAGCAGTGTGCTGCAGCTGCCAAAAAAGCCAACACAGTGCTGGGCTGCATTAACAGAGGGATAGAATCAAGATCACGTGAAGTGTTAATACCACTTTACAATGCCTTGGTAAGGCCACACTTGGAATACTGCATCCAGTTTTGGTCACCACGATGTAAAAAAAGATGTACATCAATTGTGTCACATGTTTAAAGATGGACGAACTGACATGCACGATGAGGCAAGGAGTGGCCGCCCATCTGTAGTCAGCGATGAACTCATGCAGGAAATTGACAAAAAGGTCCATGAAGTCCATCGGTTCTGGATATCTGCAAGCATTGGGGCATGCTGACTTCCGGTGTGGTGTTGGTTCACGATAATGTTCACCTGCACACTGCTAGTCGCACCCAAGAACTTTTGAAGCAGTTCCGTTGGGATGTTTTTGATCACCCCTCCCATAGCCCAGATTTGGCGCCAAGTGACTACCACCTCTTCAGGCACATGAAACAGTGGCTTGCATCGCACCGGTTCAACAATGACAATGTGCTTCACGATGCTGTTACAGGTTGGCTTCATTCACAGACGGGAGATTTTTTTTGCAGAAGGAATTTCAAACCTTGTAAGACGTTACGACAAATGCCTCAAATTGAATGGCGATTATGTCGAAAAGTAATGTTGTAGTTTTCTAATGTGTATAGTAAAGGTTCTGTATCTGCAAGTGTCTGTCATTGATAACCGAATGGAAGTTTATTTCCGAATCGACCTCGTACTTTAAGTGTTTAAGTCTTCTTTTAGCTTTGTAATCCCAGAAAAAAATGCAAAAAACACAGAGCAATACTTATTAGTTGTGAAAGAAAATATCTTTTAAACTGATAACTAACATTATTTAGAAACGAAGTTGGCAGGTCCTAATTTCTATAAAGGCTGCATAACAGCCGTGAATGAACATAGGGTCTCTTGCCCCTGAGTCACTCTACTCACAAACCCACTGCAAAACCTTCTATCTTTGATTTTACTCATGAGGACCGATCATTCAGAGATCAAATAGGTCAATTTCATGCTTCCTCCTTCATCTAGAAGAGGATCTTTTGGTATCCAGCACTGGCCACTAGATGTCAATCAAGCTATGATGCTGTTTTTATATCTGAAAGATGATTAGACCACCATATTCTTCACCGGATATCAGAACTGGATGAGTGAATTGAGGATATAACCATACCATAGCTTTGACTTGCAATTAGTAGATTGGCTGGAGCAGAAAAGTGGAATTATAATTTGTGGATCCTTTTCTCTTGAATTTCTCATGCCTATAGCTACCAGAATGGGAAGAGTTACTTCTCAAGTCAGAGAATTAGGGTGTCGTGGATGTATTTTCCATCTTGCTAACCAACATCCTCCATATCTGGGCTGTTTGAGACAGTTACCTATGTGGCAATACTTTGTTGTTATTAGAACAATCACAACCAGTTTATAAAAATGAAAATAAATATCTTGAACCACAGCAACAAAAACCCAGATTATCAACCTAGTATAATTCAATTCTTAATAGTAGCTATGAACAAACCAATAGATGTGGCAGAAATTATAATTTAGAAGTTCAGTGTGTTGTTAGGCTGTCTAAGACATGGAATAATTTTAATTGGATATATTTTTCAATAATGTATTGGAATTGGAATCTATTTGTGTATTAGCTTTCCACAGGGCAAATTTTTAGATTGGAATGTTTGTGGTTACCTTCACGTTCATGATCCAATGGATTGGCAATTTTTTAAATTGTATATTAAGCACTATTTTGTGAATTAATATAAAAGAACATGATTTTCACTAAATTTAGATTGAAATATTCTGTATATTCTGTATAACAGTGCTATAATGTTGTTCCTTTCATTATTATAGTGTAATAGTTACAACAGTGCAGTATCTGTCTGCAGCACTACATAAGAATTTCACGGAAACAGATTTTGATTTTAAGGTATTTTAAAAATTTATTGATACTATTAAATTGTCAACATTGTATTTGTTTTGCTATTAAATGACAACTTGTAAAGCATTTGCACCAAAGTTTTCCAAGAGTATCCAGAACTTTAAAATAGAAAAAAATAAAAGAATGCAGATGGTCCTCATTTAATGACCACTTGTTCAGTGACTATTCAAATGTATGACAGCACTGAATGAACATACGTATAATTGGTCTTTGTACTTAACAGCCATCACAGTATCCACATTTGTCACATTCTTTGCCAGCTTCCTACAAGCAAAATTAGTGGAAAAGCTAGCAGGAGACTGCAGATCGTGATTATGTAATGTCCTCATTTAATTACTCACAACAATTCACTTAACAATGCTTACCAGAAGTGCCAGAATTTTTGTTGCTAAGCAGCACAGGCAATTAATTATGTGTGTCTATTCAGAGAGACATTTTGGTGCAGTGGTTAAGGCACCAGGCTAGAAACCAAGAGATCATGTTGTAGTTCCGTCTTGGGCACAAAACTAGCTGGGTGACCTTGGGCTATTCACTTTCTCTTAGCCCTAGGAAATAGGCAATGGCAAGACCACTTCTGAAAAACCTTACCAAGAAAACATGTCTAGGCAATCTCAGCGAATGGGGACAAAATTGAAAGGAAGGGAAAAAATTCAGAGTTAAATCTCAGTGAGTTTAGTGAACCAACTCCCAGGTAATGGTGTAAAAAATTGCAATACAAGTTTTTTTTAGTTTAGAAATTTTGTTTATAAAAATTCAAAAATTCTTGACATCATAGTCTCTGTAGAGTAATATATATGGGATTTCTCACCTCAGATAGCTCTAATCTTCGCTTTTGTGTGTGGATTTATATAATTTTTATTATAATAATTCTATAATTGACTTTCAAAAATTCAGTTATAGAATTATATTATGAAATAGATCTGCTATGCATTGTTTATTGATGTGTGTGAAAGAAGTGCCCATGTCATATGTACAGCACTTACATACAGAATGGACCATGAAACTACCATCATTATGTAATGAGGGTATTTATTTGTTATAATCATTTGCCTTGTGTGTTTTCTGAGCAGATATGCAGAATATAAATATATCATCATAATAAATACATTGTCATTATCTTTATGTCTGGTGCTTTTTAGAACAGTCAGTTGACATTTATTAATGATATAGCAAAGGACTAAATTGTATAAGAATTTTCAGTTAGTTGCTTCATTGTTTTTCTGTTTTGTAGGCCTGGAACTCTTATTTCAGCTTGTCTGTTTTATTTATCAACCAACCCAGTCTGCAGCTAGAAACATTTATTCCAGCTAAGCAGAAAAAGATTCTGGACAAGTAAGAATATATTAACTTAAGTTTCATTTTCAGATGTTTGTTTTGAAAGTAAGGTAGTTGTTTTTTCCTCTGGTTCTGTTTTTATAAGATGTAGTGTAATAGTAAGATAAGATAAGATAAGATAAGATAAGATAAGATAAGATAAGATAACATTTATTGTCATTTTAATACTGTGAGCACAATGGCACACATCAAAAAAAAAGTAATGCTGCTAAATCTTGTTTTATGTTTAAAATGCCAATATTCCATTTTTTTCCCTTTGGATCTGTGTTTATATTCCAGATATGGTGATATGCGTGTGATGATGGCATATGAGCTTTTCAGCATGTGGCAGAATTTGGGTAAGTTAATCTTTAAGTAAACTGAGATTTACTCAGTTTAAGATTTATATTTAATCTAATAATAGCACAGTGCTGGACAATCTTTCATCCACTGTTAAAGGGACATTCAGATTATAACACATATTGGTACAACTTCATAGAAATAATTTTTATAAAACAGGAGAATCATTTGTCCTTTGGAACTGTACACTATCACTAGATGATAGTTGCTCATACACATACACATTTCCAGGCATAACTTATTCTATCCTTGGTTTAATTCTTTATGGTAAGCATCTAGCTTGATTCATATCTGACTTCATTCCTTATCTTCAGTTAGAGAATATTTTCAGTTAGCAGTGAAAGTAAACAAAAAGGAGCAGGAAATGGTACGCAAAGGAATGGTGTAAATAACTGCTTATTTTTGTTTTCTTTTGTTGTTGTTGTTGTTGTTCAGGGGAACATAAAATTCACTTTATTCCTGGAATGATCGGTCCTTTTCTGGGTGTCACACTTGTCCCACAGCTAGAGGTCCGCAACATTATGATCCCCATTTTTCATGATATGATGGACTGGGAACAGCGAAAAAATGGCAACTTTAAACAGGTAAAATGTCTTTTCAGTTCTTATAATGGTTATTTCTTACTTAAATGTTCATTTACAGTATTAAGCATATTTCAATGACCTTGGAATACTGCAACCATCATAAATAAATGCTGGCTGCCAAGTACCCATATATGGGGACTCTGTGATGGTCATAAGTGCAAAGGGTTGGAAATAAGTCACTTTTTTTACCACCAATGTAACTTTGAATAGTTACTAAACAAATGGTTGTAAGTCAGGAACTATGTATAGAATATATAGCCAATTGCAAAACTTCTTCCCATTTGAGTGAGACTTTTTCCAATCCCATTCTCTATTTTACTTATTTCCCACTCACAAGCTGTTCTGAATTTTGGTTCAACTGTACAGTAAATCCAGACTGTGAGTTGTATTCTTCCTCCTTTCAAGCTCTAATCTTAAAAAGGGGAAAGGATCCCTTGTCTTTTAATTTTTATTTTTGTTAAGATGAAATAATGGGTTTAAATTTTGTATATATTCTGTCTCTGGAAGAGAAACCATTCTTCTTTATGATCTCTGTATATCACACAAATATTTATGCATTACAGAAAACAATTGTACTAAAGTTATTTATGGAGGCTTTGATTTATGTAGAATACTTATAGGAGAAAACCTTCATCGAATCATAGGACTGAAGAGATCCAATCCTATGTCCAGAGCAGGAATCCTCATATTATACAACACAAAAGACTCTCCAAGCCTTGCTTGAAAACCTCCAGTGACAGAGTACCCACAACTCCAAAAACCTAAATAGCTACTACTACTGCTAAATAGCTGTAAGTGAAGAATATATTAATTTAGAGTTTGGATCTCCTCTGTAAAGAATCCACCCATTACTTCTTGACTTACCCTCAGGAGCCATGGCTCCTAGCTTCCCTAGGATGATCCTTTAAGTATTTGAAGACTGCTATCATGTTTCCTTTCAATCTTTTCTTCTTAAAGCTAAACATAGCCTGTTCATTTAAGCTTTCTTCATTGGGTTTAGTTTCCAAGCCCCTTGTCATCTTTGTCACTCTTTGCACACTTTCTGGGTCCTCATCATCCTTGTATTAAGGCAATCAGTATCCCAAGTACAGTCTGAGAGATGCAGCATGGAGCAGAATTATCTCTTCTCATGATCTTGACACTATAGTTCTATTAATGTTGCCCAAGAGTGAATTAGCTGTTTTGGCGGCAGCATCACATTACTGGCTCAAGTGGTCTACTAGTCCTACCTGATCCATTTCCTAAGTATTATTACTAGGCCATTGCTGCCTACCTTGTATCTGTTTTTCCTACCTATCTGTAGAACCTATATTTCTCAACACTGAAGTGTGTTTTCTTGGATATGGCCCAATGTTCAAAACTGTCAAAATCCTTTGGAACACTGAGTCTGTTTTCTAATGTGTTAGCAATCCCCAGCTTTGCATCATCTACAATTTTTTTGTACCCCTTCTAGTTCCTCATTGAAATAGTCAAGATCTTCCACAGGATACCTATCTCTCCATGTTGGCATAGAAGCATTCAAGGATCACATGCTGAGTCTGGTTGTTCAGTCAGCTACAAATCCTTCTGCTAGAGCCGTGGCTCCCAACCTTTTCTATACCCCGTACCCCTAGAATGCTTCTGATGTATTCTTGCACCCCTTACAAAAGTTCAAAATAACGGCAACAAATTATGCATGTACACTATAATTTTGAAAAGTCAAGTTTTCGCACCCCCTAGAATATCGTCTCGCACCCCCGGTTGGGAACCCCTGTGCTAGAGGGATTATCCATCCCACATTGTTCTATTTTATCAAGGAAAAGCATATGGTCAACATTATCAAATACCGTATTGGAAGTAAGTACACTATATTCACAGCATTTTCCTGGTCTACTAAATTAATCACTTCATCAAAAAAATGTAGTAAGATTTGTCTGGTATGTCCTAGTTTTGACAAAACCATGCTGGCTTCTAATAATCATTTTGTTCTTCTCTAGGTGCCTGCAAAGCCACTGCTTAATTATTTTTTCTAGAATTTTCCACTTACTGATGTCAACTTAACCGATTTGTAGTTTCCTGAATCAATGTTTTCCTTTTTAAGAAAATGGGAGCAACATTTGCTCTTCTACAATTTTCTGGCATTTCTTCCAGAACAAACTTTGCTTTAATCCTTTAACAGTTTTCAAAGATTACAATCAGTGTTCTGAAATTACATGTGCTAATTCCTGCAATATAATCCACCCAGTTCCAGATCCTTCATTCAAAATTACTCAGAGTTTCTTTCACCAATTCTTTGTCTATTATGACCTTCCTCTTCTTATCCCAACACCCAATGCAGCCTATGATAGTTTGGACCAGTCCTCTTTTCTTTTGCCAAACTACAGATGCAAAATATGAATTAAGCAGTTCAGCCTTCTCCCTATTGCACTTCCTTAGTATGATAATGATTGTGACTTGGATATCAACTCATTTTATAGGAGGCCTTCAAACTGCACATTCTCTAGTGAAAACCAGAATTGTAGCCACACAAGTCTTATGATTTTTA